TTGGGTTGAGATCTTTTTTAGAGTAAACCCAGTTGTTCGAATGGTAAATTCAACTCTTATAAAATAATAAACTAAACCCAATCCAACTACGAAATATTTTGGTTGAGTTGATTTGTCACCTATTTAAAGTATTGAACAACAAAAAAACAAAAAAGTAAATAATAATATCTTAAACATTTATTTATATATTGTCTAACATTGAATCAAAATCCAATGTTTAATTATACGGTGAAAAAGTACACTCCAAAAACTTTAAAAAGCTGTTTCTAAAAGTCAGGTTACAATATATAATCCATAAAAAATATAAAATTAAATATAATGTTGCTCCATCAGCAAAACTAAGATAAAGTTATACCAAAAGATCACGATTCAAGATACCTTCTTCCTTAATAAGTCATCAAATTGAGTGCTTTTTTATCCCCAGTTGCAACAGAGAACAAAGGAGAAAATACAATCGAAGGAATAGATAACTTACAATAATACAATGCTGCATTCTTCGAAAATTGAGAAACAGTAAGAGATCTATAACTATATATAATTTTTATGGTGAGCAAAAGAAATAGTTTCAAAATTAATAAGTTCGAGATAGTTCGGTTCAACTTAAATTTATTTTAAGTGAACCCTTGGACAGATTGGACCTATAGAATGTTTATTTATTTGAACCCAACCCAATCCAACCCAAACCGTATAAATTGGGTCAACTTGATTGGTTTTTTTTTTGGATCATTAGGTTTTTCGAACACTCTAATGGGAGACTCAGCGATTCGATTTTGTTTTTTATTTTTCATTGAAAGATTCTTAAAGTATGAGAAGGAGTATCTCATAATATGATTCATGGTTAAGCTCTATTAGGGAGGACAAAATAAAAAGAATTGATGGGTGGTGTTTAGTAGGCTTGTTCAAAGATTTCTATTTTCTTTTTGAAAACGAAATTATCAACTACTGTACTCTCAAAAACCATATTTTAAGTTTATTTTAGTGTCCAAAATCTTTATTTCGAAGTTATCTTGGGTTATACATATATATACGACATTTTTATATCATTTAAAATTGATTTCTAACCGAAAATTACGATTTTGGGCAGGAAATTTTTGTGTTAGGTGCCTAGCACCTTGTCTAATATCGAAATTGTCCTGAATATGAAATGCAAGTTTGATGTGTCTGGAAGCTTCTCCCAATCCCTCAACATATCTTCCATGCAAGTGAAGAGTCAATTCAACAAACAAATAGAGTTGGAGAGGTTTTGAAGGGTGGCTCTCCTTGAATTGCTCAACTCCCTAACCGTCTTGGAGCTCTCTATAAATTCAACAACCTCCCTCGCTCCACTCATGATCAAAGTGATTGTTTTCAAGCCTTCTACATTTTTTTCTCAGCTTCTTTTGTTTCCTTAGTTTCTTAGCTTGTCTTTTATCTTTAAAAGTTGATATTTTCCAGTCATTCTTCCGCCATGTTACTTCTAGTTGTAATTTTTGAATTCCTTTAAAATTAATTCCAGTAAGTTTATTGTTTTTACATTTACATTTCCATTTTTATTCTCTACAAAGCTTGTAATCACACAATTTTGTGGAATTGAATGAGTATTGCTCCTCGAATCTCGAGAGAGAAAAGGCAAGGGTCATTCGAGTTACAAACTTCTTATTCGCAGCTTGTTCCATTTATAACGATGTTCAACTCTCTTTTTTCTCTAAAGATGAACCACTCCGGTACAACAAGCTAAAGTGACCTCTACGCTTCGTCCCCGATGCGTAGGGCCGATCTGCTAGAGGGAAGACTGCCAAATTTATTACCCCAAGCCCAATTATGAATGATTAACTAAAGTTTTAAAAATCCAACAATGTAAAAGGTGTTTTTTCTATTCTTTTATCACTTAAGGTTGTTTTATAAAGTTAAATTTTGATTTGGCGAATTAATGTTTTAACCGATGATCAATTCTGAAAAAGTTGATATATTTCCACAACTTTAATGATTTAACTTTGATTTCGCTTGGGTAGTCTAGACATAGGACCTCGACCTAAAGTTACGATTGATTTTTATTAAATTATGTTTTTTTTTCTAATAAACATATTAGGAATGAACTTATACCTTCAAAATTAGTTAGACAAAATCACTTAGACATAAGCAAATGACGAATTAGAACCGATAAAAAATATAGAGAGACACCTAGCCCCTAGTTGGAAAAATTGTGTATTTTTAGCTAATTCGAGTAACTGGGTTGGATCTGTTCCATTGAGTTTTAAATACCAAAACCAACATCATACTTGATATTTGTTACCCCAAGATCAATTGCAAAGTCACTGACGTACATTTTATTACTTGTGACGGGTATATACTTGCGCTCTATTATTTATTTTAAATCCAAAAACCCGAACATGCACCAGTGAGACGTACATTTGCCTCTTTCCTACGAAGAACAAAGCGTCTAAGGTTAGTGATTTCAGACCCATTAGTTTCGTAACCTCCCTCTACAAGATCATTGCTAAAGTGCTCTCGAAAAGGCTTAAGAACGTGCTACCCTTTATTACCCATGATGCTCAAGCACCTTTTGTTGAAGGTAGACAAATTTTGGATGTAATTTTGGTTGTGCCTATGAAGCGGTCAGTGAATGGAAGACTAAGGAGAAGAAAGGTTTTTTGTTAAATCTTGATTTTAAAAAGACTTATGATATGATGGATTGGAGCTATCGAGATATGTTCTTTTGTTTAAAGGCTACGAGAAAATGGAAAAAGTGGATCATTAGTTGTATATCCTCGACTAATTTCTTGATCTTTGTGAATGGAAGACCTAGAGGTAAAATTGTGGCTACGAGGGGGCTTAAACAAGGTGACCCACTCTCCCCTCTCCTTTTTACGATTCTTGGAGACTCCCTTAGTCACCTCATTCACTTTTGTAATGAAAAGATGACGCTGGAAGGTTTTAGGGTGGGGACAACCGTGGAAGTAACTCACCTTCAATTTGCAAAATGTCACTCTTATTTTTTGCCCCAGCTCAATCCAGATATTAAGATTCTAGTGGCCCATTCCGAATTTATTCGTTTATGGCTCAGGTTTGTCTTTAAACCTCTAAAAAACAACCTCGGTATTCTCCTACAATAGAAGAACATAGACTATCCCTAACCAACACTAGCCCTTTTAACATGTTTTTCTCACTCACATGCTTCCTAGTAAATCAACTAGGAGGTCACCCAACCAAAGATCACTCCAAGCGAAGCACGCTTAACTTTGGAATTCTTATTATTGAACCACCGAAAAGGAAGGTGCACTTTGTTGGTATAGATAATAACTATCAATTCTTTTAAGCCTTTTTTTAACCATGTTTTCATGGTCTCAGAATCTCTCACATTCGGATGTGGTGTCGATTCATTCATGTACCTCTCTTCTCTAGTCGAGTGTCACATGCCCACCAACTACCGCTTTGGCTCGGAACCACATCTTACTAGGAGAGGTTCCACTCTAATACCATCTGTAACACCCCAAACTCAAGATTTGGAATCCTAACCTATGGTAGACAGACAGGCTAAGGAAGAAATTAGATAAGTCGAGAAGCCTCCTCATTTCGAAAGAAGGTCGCCTAACGCTGGCCCAATCGGTTCTTAACAGCCTCCTTATTGCTTTCTCTTCTTAAAGCGTCTTAAAAGCGCCTAGTAAGACGATCAACATGCTGGACAAATTAACAGAGACTTCATTTGGAGTGGGGAACTTATTAAAGGGGCTGTAATCTAGTTAATTGGAGCTATCCTTCACGTCCTACTGTTTTTGGTGGCTTGATAGTCGGATCTTTCAAGAAAAGAAACAAGGCTCATTTAACTAAATGGCTTTGGAGGTTTGCTTTCACATATAAGTCTTATTTCCTTAGGTCTTTCTCCTCTAGCAGCAGGTTTCAAGCACCTCCTATCACAGCTTTATGGAATTTCAAGATTCTTCAGAAAGTTCAAATTATTCTTTGCTATAGAAGTATAAACACTTCAGATAGAATTCAAAGAAAGTTTACAAATTGGTCCCTCTCCCCTCCCATTTTCAGAATATGTTTATGGGTCAGAAGAGCCCCCATCTTTTTATTCTCTGCCCATTTGTGAATTGGTGGTATCGTCTCCTACGTGTGTTTGATGTTTCGAGCTACCTGCATATTTGCATTGAGAGCTGGTTGATTGAAGGTTTTGATGGGTTTTCGTTTAAGAAAAAAGCGAAAGTGCTTTGGAATTGTGTCTTTAGAGTTTTTTTTATAACTACCTTGGAAAGAAAGAAACAACTGTGTGGCTTTTATGATTCTTTTTCTACAGAGGGTATTTTGTGGAGCAATGTACGACATATCTCTTCTCGAACCATAAGAATTTCGTTTGTAATTATAGACTCCACATGATTTCGTATGATTAGAACTCGGAAGGCTGGATTTAGTTTGTTTTGGGAGGTTGAACTCCACCCGACCCTAGACTGTCCTCTGCCTCGTTCATTTTTGTTGACTAAAACACATTTAAATTCTTACCCAAATTCTAAATTCCAAAAAAAAAAAAAAGTTTTTGAAAGTTACTTTTCTAATTTTTCAAAGGTTCGATTTTGAAAACATTTTTAAAAGTAGGTAGCAAAACAGAGAAATATGAGTGAAAGGAGTGTTAACATGCTTAATTTTTAGAAACAAACAATTAAAAAACAAAATAGTTATGAAACAACACTCTCCTTTCCCTTTCTCTAGGCTTAATGTTCCATTTCCTAACAAGAGCTGGTACAACAAGTATACTTCAAAATACCACCTCTCGAAAAAAAAATGCTACTGCAAAGACGTTGGCAAGTTTTTTAACCATTATATTTGCCCACAAAACTTTCTTCAATGGTGCAGATAATATTAACAAATGATCGTAATTCTACAAGAACATGTTCAATTTAGCAACAAAATCAAACAATAACATATTTTCTGAGTAAACATAAAGTAGCTACGTTATTAGCCCATTTTCCCTAAAAAAAGAAATGAAACATGAAAATTCTATTCAATGATTCTAGACCTCCATCTGCAAAGACTCCTATACTACAGTTTTCATTTCTAACATTGAGGAACTTATTGTCCTCTTTAAGCCGCAACTTTTACATCATTTTCAAATCAGACTATCAAAATTTTCTATTAAAACAAATTATCCCCAGTCAAGAGGGAAACCAGTTTCACTAAATATTTAATATTACAGATGACTGATAAGAAACTTCCAAAGAAGAAAGTTTTTAAACTAATATCAGATTAATCTTGAGTAAGGCTAAATTTACTTTTTCTAAATTCTCGAAATAAGGAAACATGAGTCTCCTGAAAATAAAGCAAGATAATACCCGTTTGACTTCACTCTTGTTCATCAAGCTTGCTAGATCGTCCATATGGTACGTATCTACGATCCTTTGCAGCATTTTTCCTCCTCCTCCTCTCCATATAGGCATCAAGCTTTCCAGTGGACTGTTCAAATTCCAGAATGGTTAATCACTCATTTAGAAACATAAGTAGCACTAAACATACCATGTTGAAATGAAAAACAGGGGATTCATACCTTAAGAGTGTTGTATTTTTCAATAAGCCTTTGCTTTCGAATTTCAGCTGCAAAAGACAAAACAGGCTTAAGAAAACATCCATATCCAGGCAAAACCAGAAAGTGAAGCATCTTAAAATGCTGAAGATGGAAACAGTCATGATAATTTTAAAAAATATTATGTTCTTTCCATTAACCACAATAAAATGTTTTCGACGAATTGTTATGATCCGTAACGGCCAAGAATTCTATCAAAATAATACCCTAGGAAAAAAATACATACGGTAAAATAAGATCAATACATAATGGACAACCAAACTATTAATTTTCTACACAGCCACCCAAACTACAGATTCAAGATGCACAACTATGATGAAATGACCTGAAAGTCTCGCACATGGATTCAGGACGTCATGGATAAGACATGGACATAAGCCATAACATCATACCATATTTTAAAAATTTTAGTACTTTGACAGAAGGACACATTTAATACAAGTATTTTTATATACCTCTAGACATATTAATGATTTTAAAACATGAGGAATTATGTGGTAAAGAATTGGAGGTACAAACTTACTTCCTCATTTGTTCAATTTCAAGCAAATATTTCTCCATGGAAAATACTTTTCCAACAAGATAAAAATCACACCTTAAAAATAACTTGCATCTTATTTATCACTTTCACATCTTGTCACACCACTGCAGCAAGTTCTATCAAGTGAATCTATTAATTCTCTTCCCTTTTTCTATACTAATTTCTATGGATTTTTTTGCTCTTATTAATTTATATCTTAGTTCCATAAATTTGAACTTTTATGAAAACCTATCTTTCAATTTCTTATAATTCACTCCCCAAGCATATACCTTGCATATCCTAAAAACCCAATGCAGCAAAGATTTCAAGAAAATAACAAAACAAACACTTCACATCACGTATACATGTTCAGAATGTGTTTATGTCAGAAATCAAATGCACAAACTGCCCATTGCCTTCATGTGGAAGTCCAGTTTTTTCTTATTTTCTACTTTTCTCTCTATATTGTCTCTTTTTAGCAGGGGCAAAGGAGAGAAGCAAAATGATACCAGCACTACACCCATGTTAGAGTTATCAAATTAAATCCTAGCTAATGTAGAAGTATTAATACTAACCATGGGATAACCACAAACACACAAGTGCAAAGTACAAAGTTCCACCATATGCACTACTACTGTTGGAAAATGATCACCAAATGTCCTCCAAAGTTTAATGTAGAAGTTCCAAGCAGAAAGCCATAACCTAAGTGCATGCCCTTGAGATAGAATTTAAGCAAAAAGAGAGGGAAAACATTCTTACATTTCTTAAGATAGAAGGGCTTTTTCCCAAGCTTGGCTGCTTCTCTCTCTTTATTCTTGTGTTTGGCCAGAATTGCAGCATCGACACGTTTTGTGGTGTCAGATTTGAATTGTTTGTCCTAAAATTACATGGAAAAATGAATCTAAAATCTAAATATAACAAAACAATGGGCACAAATAATAAGATTATGATAAAACATAATTTGGTAATGATGAAGTATCAAGCTTCTGTCTTCAATCTATAAACTAGTAACAAAAAAGTTGGAGCTTTTATTTTTCCTAATACTTGCCAATAACAAACTTCATTCTAATTTTCCTTTCATTTTTAACATTAAGAAGTCTAGAACGTCTCTTTTTGTTGCATTATATATAGAAACAAAAATAAAATGAGATTCATTACATATAAATCAAAATAATAACACTTACAATCCAAAATATCTGTTTTTTTAGTTCTTCAACAACATTTGGATCATTGGTTTTCCTTAACTGCTTTTTCAGTTCCTGTTGTATCAGTGATAGTTGCAATACATAAAATGGAGTCACCAGTCAATAGAATTTAAAATCGGTAAACTATAAATTATATCAATAGGGGAATAGATCAAGGAAAATACCTCTTTTTCAGCAGGAAGATTATTCTCGTAAATGAAATTATATCTCTTCTTAAATCTGTAAGATTCCAATAAACATAAGACTCCCAATTTTCAAACCAAGAAGAAAGATAAGGATAGAAGTAGATAGAATGAACAAAAATTTAAAACGCCAATTTTGTTTGTTAGATAATAGTATTCTACAACATGCCAAAGAGTTAATCAAACCTCATATCAAGAAAAACTCACCCCTCAACATCTAAAGTGCCAGATAAAGATTCGAAACGTGGATCACGTACCATCTGAAATCCAACAAATTATTAGTGAGAAATGCAACTATTATCTTAAGTCGCGTTAGAACTCAATTAAGTGAGATGTTACACTCTCATTATCATTAAGTAGGAGGTTTAAACTCCATATAGGCAAATGCAAGAAATTTTGACAATAAACTAACAAAAAGGAATAACCAACTCACATTCTTAGGAGCCTGAATGACCTCTCTGAATCTACTAACTGGTTTCTTACTACTAACCTCCATTGGCCTTCACGAAGAAATTACAAATCATATACTCAATTAACTTGCAAACAATAAAATAAGGGAAAAAAAATAGTACCCATAAGCTACCTGTTCTTGTTTGCCCTCCCACCTTTCTTCTCTTGATTGGTCTTTTGATACGTCGAATGCGACCCATCAGACCGCGCTCTCTGCAACTCTTCAAAAGTTACATCGGCAAGTTCACGCTCTATATTCTCTTCTTCCTATATAAACAAAGTGAACGTCAAATTGCAAATAAAATCAATTCATGAATTTGAATAATAAAAAAATGTAACGTAAACATGATTTCAACAGCTCAAAAGATACCGAGTCAACAAAATCTTCTGGGGAAGAAGATTCAAGATCCTCGCTTTCCTCCATCACTTGTTTGCTAGAACTGCTACGTTTCTTCATTCCATTTATTTGCCCTAATTCACAAATGCTTTGATAACCGTTTGTGCCTGCCGCTACCACAAGACTCCACGCGGCTGTTGCTCCGTTCGTCTCCGGCGTTCGGATTTGCTGCAGATATCCGATCGGGTTGCTGTGAATTATAGGGACATCTTGTTGTTAGGGTTTGTGTGAGGTCTGGTTCTCTTTGGTTTGGTCCAGTTTAGCAGTTCGGTCTAACTTACCCGTTTGGTCTGCTTTGCTGGTTCGGTTCGATTCACCTCGAGTTTGGTTTACCAGAAAAAGCTTTTAAAAAGAAGTGTCAAAATAAAAGAGATGCAGACCAAGGTTTAAAATGTCGTTGTCGATGGATATTTGGTGAAAATTATGAAAATTATGGAAATTAATAAAAATTATTTTAATTAGTAAATAAAACTTTAATTGTAGCTTAATTAAATTATAATTGATCACTTTTTATCCATTATATGTAAAAATATTAGTAACTTATGAAAATGTTGATGTCGATAGAAATGTCGGAACAAGATAACGAAAATGGATGAAAATAATTTGAATTAGTAAATTGAAATCATGTTTTATTAATAATTTATAACCAAATCTAATATTTGTTATATAATTGAACCAAATATGAAATATTGATATATACATACATGCATATGATGATTAAATTGAGTTATTAGAAATTGAAGCATTGATTTGAAAATTTGTCATTAAATTTGAAAAGAAAAATAGATCTAAGGTTAAAAAAAATCAACAGGAATAAAAATACGCATCAATGGTAAAAATTGAAATAAATAAATGAATTTAAATAATAATATTATTATTATTATTAATTTATTATAAGAAAAAAGAAAAAAAACGAGAAAAGGAAGCACCACTATACAATCCCTCTCTACCCCTCCTCTCACATCTCTTCAGGTGTTTTTTATTAATAATGTTAATAATAAAAGTAATTTTAAAAATATTGTATTTTAATTAAAATTGTTTAAAATATGGTATGTTTTGAAACTTTTTTTAAAAATATAGTGGTTATAAAAAAGTGTAGCTCGACCATCCAACATGGTTGTCTCTTAGACGACCATACAACGTGGCGCCACCATGCACGCCACGTAATTTGTTTTAGAGATGGTCGTCTCTTCGACCATCTCATTTATTTATTTTTTTATTAATCGTGGTCGTCTCTTACCACATTATTTTTTGTTTAGGGTTTTAAATATTTTTAAATAAAATACAAATGATTGGGTATATTTATTTATTTATTAACTAAAAATTCACTTTAATGTCTAGTTATTATTAACTATATTAATTAAAAAATCCCCTCAAATATATTATTAACTATATTTTTAAAATAAGTTTTATTATTAACTATATTATGTTGTGTAAACAAAAATTATGATTTTATGATTTTCTTATATAATCATGAAGTTATCCATGTTAGTTCAAAATTGGAAATTAATATTATAAATAAGAGAACAATGTTTGTAGTTCGTCAATTTACAGTCTATCGATCTAATCCGTTCCACAATGGAGACGTCGCCGGTTACGATGTGGCAGACGACGAACTAGTGGTGCCGCTGGTGTCTCTTGACTCTCTGTACGGTCTCGATCTTCCGTAGGGTTGAAGTATTGTCCATGCTCTCCACGTCCACGTCCATGGCCCCATCCATAGCCATACTGCAGCGGCGAAGATGGTGTGTGATACTGACTAGAACCAGGAGTCGATATCATGACCATAGGCGTGGACAGACCAGCATCATCCTTTGTCTGTGTAAATGGTGGAATGTCTTCAACTCTATGATAGATAACTTCAGGTACGGGATCGTCAAGTCCTACTGGAGCATCTTGATCTACTTGACGTCGTCCTCTACGCCTAGGGCCACGAGCAGGAGTAGGTACTTTGTACATTTGATGAAGACTCTGAAGATGCCTCCTGCCAACGTTGCACAACCTATTAATTTCGTCTGATGACGAGAGAATACTGATTTGCTCGAATCACGCAGTCTACATGAAAAAAATTAATGAATATGTATTTATTAATTTGAATAATTGTTATAACAAAATAAAAGATTGTACCGTAGCACCAAATGCTGCTCCTTCTCGAGTTATATATCGTCTGGTGATTAACGTATATCAGCTCATGTATCCTGGATCGCAAGTACCGTCGTCATCGACTGGAGGATTGATTACAAGAAATTGGCTACGTATGTTCCACATCGCCACAAAATGTGCAATCTGATCCTGCCAGGTGTTATCCCGAATGTCGATGTCATGTATCCTCTTATCCCAGCATGGCACCTCTGGAATTGTTTGTTTCATACCAAATTGTCTTGTAACTCTATCAGGATAATGCCACCCCACAATATGAAAGCATATGAGTGGACTCACAGTGCACCAAATGTTATGTCCATTGACACAGAAGTCGGGTAGGTTGGCAAATTCCTTATCATATGGCTTCCAGATCATCTGAAATTGTAATAAAAAAATCGTGTAATTAATTATAAATCAATATATATTTTTAYATTATAACATTTAAAAAACGTACCGAGCCTGGTGGCAAGAGGTCCAACATGTATCTGTACTGGATCAAAACATATGTAGATACTTCTGTAACACAAAATTGATCTCTCCATCTACAATAATATTATAGGTTAGTACAACAATTGAATGCGTAAAAAAAATTTTAAGAGAAAAATAGGACAATATTTATATCGACGTATCGGGCAGCTAATGGTCGACCCACGAGATCGTGATCTGAGATGTGACAACGCTGTGGAGCCATCGTGGGGAATCGATCCTAAGCCCATACTTGTAGAAGTATAATTGGACCAGCAATGTCACGAGAGTCAGAGCGACACGCTTTGCACAGATTTCGATACAACCACGCCAAACATGCTCCACCCCAACTGAAACGTCCAGCTACCTCGAAATCGGCTAATAAGGGAGAAACGTTAAATGCACCAAGTTGTTAGACTTATCGGCGAATAGACTACCACCGATAAGCAGCATAATATAGGCACGAGCGTATCTGGCAATGGTTTCCTCATCAGCATCGTCGGCTAGATTACGAAATTGGGAAGCTAGCCAAGGTAGACTCAACCTAGAGCCTCTGATGTACGCAGCACCTGGAGTCACCACAAGTAATGCTTGACAGGTGCCTCTCCAATCATAATCAACGCGACCAGTAACAGGCTCCCCATCTACTGGTAACCCAAGCTGCACCGCTACATCTTATAGAGTGATAGTACACTCTCCATCAGGCATGTGGAATGTATGAGTCTCTGGCCTCCACCGTTCCACAAGTGCAGTAATGAAATGCCAATTTAATTGGATGAATCCCAATCTGGAGAATCCGTAAAATCCAGAAGCGCGTAATGCAGGTTCAATTAAAGGATGCAATGGGATGGTACGATCAAATACCGCCTCTCTAAGTCGGCAGTGCAACTCCTCGTTACACTGACCTTGTCAAACTAACTCTGATCGATGTCGAGTTTGGTTATACAATACAAATCGATCGATAGGACCTGGGTTTAATTCCATAATCTAATACAATAGATAATCGTTAGTTGGAAAATTAAATATAAATTTTAAAACAATAGTCACAACATAGAGTGTCAATTAAACTAAAGGTACAATCACATAGAGTTTTCAATTACATCGACAATTAAACTAACACAGAGTACAATCACATCGACAATTAAACTAACATAAATGATTCAGACTAAAGTTTTCAATTACATCAACATCTAAGAAGGTG